TTGAGATATAGATGATTCTGAACAATGTGAGAGTGTGATGGAAAAGGAAAGAACTGATCTTTGAGGGATTTCTAAATGTTGAAATTGGGTAGAAGGAGCCAAAAAATGTTTGCTAAAAGACTTAGCAGAAAAGCCAGGAAAGCATTGCATCCTAACCTCTGGGAGTGTTTTGATAAAGAGGGGATGGTCAACTGGATTGAATACAGAGGACAGACCATACAGGTGAGTATGAAAAACTTCTACTGGCTATAGCAGCATGGAGGCATTGGTGTCATGGGGACACAAGTCAGACCACAAAGACTGATGAGTGTTTAGTTGGTGAACAAGTAGAGAAAGACTACTATTAATGAGAGTACATGATAGGTATGGAAGAAAGAAGGTTAATACAATATCTATGTATATTTTAATGTTATGCATGAGCACACTTACATGCTGGTGTAAAAAAGGAAACTATGGAAGGTACACAAAAGAATGAAGAGAACAAGTGGCAAACATTCAGATTCAGAAAGTATAATACAGAAACAAACAACAACAAAGGGATAGACTTAAGGTTAGAAGCTATAGATAGATCCATTGCTACCTGCCACCAAGGATCAGTTTCTGAACTCCCTTTATTGGCTGCACTCTAGGGACCATGTACAAGATTGAGACTGAGCAGAAGAACAAAGAAAGGGATGTGCCTTCAGTCTTCAAATCTCTGTGCTGGCTTTTTCTTCTGTTTACATTAAATAATAATTTGATTGCATAAACTAAGGTGCCTGGGTTTTTAAAGTTTTGATCATGGCAACCTGTAAATTGGAAAAAAATGATTGATTCCCATGTTCTGTTGGGAAGGAATAAATCAAGCAATAAAATCTGACATTTGTCTATTTAGATATGAGCCCTTGAGACCTATGCTAGTAAAAGAGATCCCTTAATGGCTACAAAAATATATACAGTAATTAAATACATTCATGTATTTAGGGTATAAAATTTGAAAACACATCACTTACAGTTTGAGAAGAAATATAGTTTCAAAAATGGTGTATTCTATAGTAGAAATATGAAGTGGCAGTTATAAGTGAAAATAGAACTATATGTACCTGTAATTTGAAACCATTAAGAACACAATAAATATCAATTATTATTAAAAGACAGACCTGTACCACAGGCTAGCATGAAGTGAACAATCAATAAAGGAAAAATTAAAGTGACACCTAAACTTAATCAGGAAGAATGAAGAGAATCTAAACAGATGAGGAAGAGGTAAGGGCATCTTCCTGATCCCCTCCATCTTCCCTATTTGACTGTGCATTCTCACTATTCTGTTCCAAATATTGTACTAAGGGTTAGAGTGAATAAATTAGATTTGAAACCTTCTCTCAATGAGTTAATAACAATGGCAACTAACCTTTTTCTGAGGAATTTCTATTATACATGTACTATTTTAAGTGATCCACCTTGTATGAATCCAGTTAATCCTTAAAACAACTCTAGTAGCTAAATAGAATTTTCATCTCCCTCTTATTCATGAAGAAACTGAGGCACAATGAGGTAAATATTGCTCACCATTGTATTTCTAATCTCAGGCACAGAGTTTCTTAATTAATATTTTGGATGAATAAATTAACAATGTATGGATGAATCATGTCAAGGTCCAACTTTGCTAGGGCCAGGAAAGTGCATTCAGAAATAGGTTTCTGCCTCACTCATCATTTTGTAAGACATTTATAGAACAACATTTCTCAAACTTTCTGAGCCATGATAATCTCCAAAGTTATAATTACTAATATATATATATATATATAGATCTGGAGAGAAGTTCATTACTTTGTATTTTTAATAGGTATCCCAAGTATTTTGTTTTAAGGTAATACTTGTCCAAATTTTGCAGAAAAAAAATGACTATTACTGCTCCCTATGATTTGATAATAATTACAGCTAAATATATAACTACCAGATAATGATTATGGCCCAGTCTTTCAAAGGAAGGAGAAGGACAATGGTGACTTCAGTGACAATGTAAGGAAATCTTCAGCTGCAATGAAATCTGTTTACCCATCCGTATTGCAAGGCTTCTCAACGTTGGTACTGTTGAAAGTTTGAACCTTACAATACTTTGTTGGGTGAAGGCTTGCTTTTGCATTTTTGTTTGTGAGGCAGGAACTCCGGACTCTACCCTCTAGGTGCCAGTAGATTAGCCCACCTCCCAAGATGTGACAACTGAACATATCTTTGGCATTGATAGATATTATCAAATTACCTATATTTGGAATCCTCTACCACAATGGAAGAAAGAGAATTTCGTTCATTCCCTTACTTATAAGCAGCCATTGGCCTTCTGATCTAGAATCGTGTAAGACACGTGATGTTTCTGGTTAATGTTCCCTCTATGAGACTGTATGGTTTGTTTGAAGGGTACAGTGTACCTTCTTAGCTTTCTTCAGAACTCATAATATATGTCATCCTTCTCCCTCCACCCCCACAGAGCTGATTTATTACACTGAATGATATATATGGTCAGGGTCACGACACCTGACTGAGACCCCAAGTCATCATTCCTTCTTTAGGTTCTCGGGGACTTGGGTCCTTTTACACAGTTTGCAGGGAATTGTAACTGTGACAGTAGAATAAGATCAGCTTCCCAGGAGACACATATTGTAAAAAAAGAAAAGAAAAATCAAAGAGAGACATAGAAAGAAAGAGTCAGGTAACAGTGCTTGAAAGAAAGGAATGAGATAAACCTGAAAAAGTTCAGCACAAAATTGGCCAACAACTAGATTTTGAAAAATACAGGAAATTTCCCAGTCTGAAAATTACTCTAGTTCTTTCTTTTTTTTTTTTTTATAATATATTTTATTGACTTTTTTTCAGAGAGGGATAGAGAGTTAGAAACATTGATGAGAGAGAGTCATGGATCAGCTCCCTCTTGCACAACCCCTACTGGGGATGTGCCCGCAACCAAGGTACATGCCCTAGACCGGAATCGAACCCGGGACCTTTCAGTCCGCAGGCTGACGCTCTATCCACTGAGCCAAACCAGTCTAGGCTGAAAATTGCTCTAGTTCTTTATCATTTATATGAATAAGCAGGCAACATGTAACTACTGAAGGGGGTATATCCTTCACTTTTTCCCTCTATTAACTTCTCTTAACTATTCTCAATATCTTTCAATTACATATAAAAATAATCAGAGTAGCTGAAACTGGTTTGGCTCAGTGGATAGAGCGTCAGCCTGCGGACTGAAAGGTCCTGGGTTCGATTCCGGTCTAGGGCATGTACCTTGGTTGCAGGCACATCCCTAGTAGGGGTTGTGCAAGAGGGAGCTGATTGGTGATTCTCTCTCATCAATGTTTCTAACTCTCTATCCCTCTCTCTTCCTCTCTGTAAAAAATCAATAAAATATTTTTTTTAATAATAAAATAAAATAAAACAACCAGGGTAAAACCTTAGTACATATTTTTGATGGAGGAACCATTATTACTATTGTGCAACATTATGCACTATCATCTTCCCATTAATATACGCAAAAATTTATCAAAACACTAAGACTAACTAAATATTGTTATTCCCTACGTACTTTTAGTGAATTAATTCCTAGTTCACCAGGTTACTCAGCTCAGTGAATTAGTGTGTGCATCCAATAAAACAGTGGCACTAGCTACCCAAAGCGCATTCTTAATGGAAGCAGGAAACATAGAAAGAAAAACAACACAAATTTCTATTGGCATCGCCTTTAACTGATTCACTCACCCCAAAATCAATGATAATGGAACTTTATTGCTTATATAAATTATCTGGTGTTCGCTGCCTTGACTAAGGCGCTTTATGGAAGAGAATAATGCTGCCTAATTAACGTTTAGTGGGAGAATCAGAGGGGAGTCAATACCTATTTTCAGAGGAGAATGAAAAGATGGAGAATCAATCAAAAAGAGGGAGGAAAAGCCCAGCATTGCACCATCTGTTATCCTGGGCGAGAACATATCTGTAACGTCGCTGCCGCCAAACCAGGGAAGTGATTTCAGAAGCTTGGGCAGACACTGTGTGCGGGGAGACAAATGCTCTCGGGTAACTATGCGGTGAATGGTAGCTCACCCCTGAATCTGGCCAACTCCACGTGGTTGCCTGGTGATTAACGAGGCCATCAAAGACCCAACCCCGAGCTGCCCTGTGTGGGAAAGCAGGGATTTAGGAAGCCATAAAAGCAGAAATGGCTGGGCAGCGAGCCTGCTTCCACCACCATCGCTGCCTTCGCCTGTACAGTGGTTCAGGCTGCCAGAGGCTTTCCGGTTGCCCTGGCAACTGTTGAGCTCTGCTGCAAACTCGAAGCGGAGCCTCTGAAGTTGGGTACCAAACACGGGAGCTCCGCAGATGCAAAGGCAACTGGGGAGGGACAAGAGAACAACGTTACCCACGCACGAGGTCTATCACTCCTGTGGCTCCTGGGACCTTTTCCCAAACCGGGTTTTTGTTTACTTTTTTTTTTTTTTTTTTTTTTTTTTTTTTAAGAATAAAACGAGATAGTTCGTGCCTGGCATTATTCATTAGTATCCTCGTCTGGTGCCCTGGGAGAGGAGCATGCAAATCACCTCCCTCCTACAGAAGAGGGTCAGGAGTTAGGAAACGCGATCACCAGGATTGCATCCAGCACGCCCGTCCATTCATTCATTCATTCATTCATTCATTCGGAATTTTAGGGACTCCTGTGTGCCGGGCATTGTGCCAGGCCTTGGGGCTGCTTCCAAAAGGGAGACCCCATCCTACACTCCCAAAGGAAGGATAATGAACAGCAATTAGCAGAACCTTCGCGAGCCTGGGGGAAACCAATTGGGGTTTTCTGCAATCTTCCCGCGGGTCTCGGAAGACAGATTCCGGATCCAGACGCGGGAGAGGAAGGAGGCAGCGGGGAGGGAGAGGGACCCCTCCTTCCCCTCCCCGGAGGAAATCTGTCTGGGGCCACTCCGATGCCTGCTTCCCTGGGCTGCGAGGAGGGAGTGGAGGTTTGTTTTTCTTTTAGGAAGACGGAGCCCTTTTCCCCACTGGGCTCGGTTTCTAGTAGGGGGAGGCCCGCCTCCCGGGGCCGCTGATTGGCCCACACGCTCTGCAGATAATTTATGCCAGCATCCTCTCGGTGCGATTGGCTGCCCGGCTCCATTCCGCTGGGAGTCGCATCCTACCTGGCTGGGAGGTGTAGCGCCTTCCCACACTTTGCCTTCTGGTGCTCCTGCCCTGGGCTGCGGCTAAGGTGGGAGCGAAAGTCCCGGCTGGAAGGAGGCTGAGGGGGAGAAAAAGCGATTCTGATGGGTTCTTGGAAAGCTTTCCTCTTCTCTCCTTTCCTTCTGTGGAGTCCAAGTAGAGGCGTGAGGCTGATGTTCTTGTTGCTGACCCTGCATCTGGGAAACTGGTGAGTGAACGCAAGGACCGAGAGAACTATTCTTTCGCGCCTGCTCCCCTTTCTCTTGCTTTTTCTTTCTTCCTTTCCCCAAACCAGTCTAAGTCATTGGCGTTTCCCTAGGCACCTGTGCAATATTTTACCATCATTTTCTTTTCTGGTTAGATCTGCCCATTTTCAGATTAGAAGGACATGAACCTGTGTGTGGAGCGTGGAGGGTAGTCCAGTTGTTTTTGATTGGAAACGTGGTCAAAACTAGTCAAGACTCAGTTACTGGGACGGGGAGGAGGAGGAGAAATGGGTTTACTGCTAAATGTAGTGAAAAAAAATGACACTGATGAACTTTCTAATGATTCTGCATTTTATAGATATGGTTATTTTAGAAACTGAGGAGTTTCATAGCATAGTATGTATGATGCTTTTCTATATACAAATGTTTTTGTTTTCCTTACCCCTCCCTCTTTTTTTTGCTATGGGGGGGGGGAGGGCTTTACATCAAAATAAATAAATATGGCTAAAATCCACCAGGGTCACGTGTTATATTTATGTTAGAAATAAATATGCATATTTTATTCAACCAGATTACAAAGATTTTTATTTTAATTGGATGTCTACATGAAAAATTGTATGCTGATATAAATGATGTTCTGGCTGTGTATTTGTGTGTGTGTGTGTGTGTGTGTGTGTGTGTGTGTGTGTGAAAGACAGAGAGACTGAGAATATCAACCCCAAGCCTCCAATTTAATAGGTCTGCTTGGGTTGCAATACCTTTCAATAAAACTTTTAAATCATTCTAGGAGGAAAATTTTTAAACTGCTGAGGTATTGTATCTAGCTATAGGAGTAGTTGATGCATGAAGTTAAAATATATAGATTAGGACATAGATCCTATAAAGGTCTTGGACATACGGAGTAGTCCAAGTATGAGTATGCTGTGTGATTTTGTTTTATATAAATGAGTATGCTGTGTGATTTTTGTTTTATATAAATCTACATTTAAAATTATATTGTTGTATGATGTGACCCTCAAGAATAAAACACAATTGCTATGCAGATGAAAACATGCCTTTATGACTACTTGCATCATTGCTAAAATGAATTATTATTATGATTAATTTTAGTATATACCAACAGTGAATAGTTTTGTCAATACCAGCAGATAGAATAACTATTTTCTCTCTGAAAATACAGAATGGATTGAATTATGCTAAGTAATACCAGACATACCAGAAAAATGTTTGACACTCAATGCTGTTTTGTTGTTTTGTTTTAGTTTATTTATACTTTTTTCTTTAGAAACTAAAATATTTTGCATGGACACAAATGTACTTGTTGATTAATTATTCCTTGTATATAAGTTTTGTCATTATGACTTATTGCTTTGAATATATTATTGGACAATTACAGAAAATATTTTTATAAAATAGGTGTCAGGGCTCTCATGCACAATATTACAAATGAATCTGTGTTCTCAAAAATAAAAGCAGATTTAGCCAGTGGTTTTCTGAAATAACAACCTGTGTGCTCCTTTATCATTAGAAGTGCAAGTTTTCCTTACAACCTATCAGGCTCACTTAAGGGCATAAAGAGATGTGTTGTTTTAAACAGTAATTTTGTGTTTGAGAATACTTTTGTGGTGATCATCATAATTGGCCCCAGAATTCTCTTCTGGCTGCTCATAATTTAGAAAGTTGGGAGTTGTTAAAAAGTTGTGTGTTGCAGTGGACAGAGATGGGTTCTGGCAGTCTAGAGACAAGATTTTATGTGTCAAGAGTCCTTAACCTCTGGAAAGTTTCTTCTTCTAGGAAATGAAGGGCAGGAGTAGATGGTTTATGGTTGCTTAACTTTTCACATGTAATATGTCCAAGATTTGAGCTGAAACATGAAAATAACTCAATAGTTGTTTCACTGTCTTTTTCTCAGTACTTTTTAAAAAGGGAGTTGTAGTAGGAAATTCCCTATGCTGTTCATACCATCTGCATTAGTGAGTCAGATAGAGGTGTTATGCTGTTCAAATCTAAAAATGACTCATTTTATCCTTGTACTCTAGATCATTTGAATTATTCTAGCCAGTGGACAAATGTTCTAAAAATAAAACTATATTTTGTTGTTATAATGAACTCGTAGGGCCTCAATTATGAGAGTTCATGCCTTCATTTTTTTAAAAGTAGTTACGGTGTGGTGAACTTTTCATCTTTATAATATTTAGTTGGAGATAATTGATGTAATCGTTTACAAACCAGTTACATTTATGCATTTTCTCCCTTTCTTTGCCTTTTGAGAAGCCTTTTCAAAACTAACCATAGGTGGTTCTGGGTGTAAGAATTTTTGTGTTTTATGCTGGTTTCTAAAATAAATCATCAAAGTCATCTATTTTGAGATTTACCAAATTAGGGCCTGTTATTTCTTATATCTTAGCAGAGACAAGAGCTTATTTCCTTGTTAGTTTCTATTAAGAGCACAAAGGAAGGACAGTATATTGATTTTCATATTTCCGAACTATGAAAACCTGTCTCATTGCTGTAACTGAAGCTATAGTTATGGTTCCTACTTTTCATTCTCCATGAGACTATAAGGCATCTTGACAAGTTGCTTAAAATCTCTTAAGCTTGATTTAACTTATTTTTAATGTTGGGAATATTCTATTTATAATCAGATTTTTAAAAGAGTTGAGAAGTGTTTTGATATATCAGCTGTTTTAAGAAATAATTTATTGTAAGCTTTGACCAAGAAGCTATGTTTGAGAGAGTGCAAGGAAAATAACAGGTTTTTATTTTTATTTTTTAAGACAATTTTATTAATCAATTATATACAGTGTAGCATTCAGTTGCCCAAATAAAAATATTCATATATCGATACACTCGCTTTAGAACATATATAATTTCAAAGTAATTTTAGTCATATAGTATATAGACTAAATACATGGAGATGGTTGTCACTGACATTTTTCTTAGTCATCTGGATTATTTGCTTCATTTTCTGATACTAATGATAACCACTCAAACTTGAGGGCAAAAAAACTAACTATGATGTTTCATGATAATTAAATTTTCAAAAGACTGAAAAAAAGATTTTTGAAGCTAAAATTCAAATGCTATAGTTGATAAATCACCTATGTATAGAGTCTGTTGGGCATGCCATCATTTTGTTTTTTTGTTTTATTTTATACTATGAGACACACTTGACTAACTAATGAAAGAAACTGTTTGACCTTTCATTCAAATATTGAGAAGATTAATGTAACATTGTACACTTATAGAAAGGTGGTTGAAACTTGTCTAAGAAAATAATATGTAAGGTGGAGTCTGAAAGGAGAGAAAAAATAGCAGGGTGGAAAACTGAAAAACTGACAATATTATCAAAATATCACAAATCACTACTGTGGGGAAAAAGGACAAAGTGGACATAAATGGAATGTCCTGGCTTCAGGAGAATAACTCAGTATATGCATGGTACCAGTAAAGAACCCTAGACTTTATATAAATTCTGGTTTCAGCTCTACCATTTCCCACCAGGGTGATTTCAGGCCAATCTTTGAGGCAGAGAGTCCTCATTTGTGAAAAATAAAAATGACATATATCTTCCCAAATTGTTTCAAGACCAAGATAAAACATATGTGGAAAGAACATAACACTGAAAATGTTAACTGAAAAAACATAATAGCAGATACTCTGTAGAGTTACATTGATTCTAGTATTATTTATCCTAGTTACAGTGGTTTAAGTGCAATAAAGTGAAGTCTTTGGATTCTTGTACATTAATATCTTTTGGATTTAAAATAGATCTTTCATTCTTTTACAACAAATATTTATTGAAAACCTGCATCACGCTAGGTTTACAGTGGTGAATGAAGTAGACATGAGTTTAGTTCATGTGTGACAGGGAGAAGGAGAGAGAGAGAGAGAGAGAGAGAGAGAGAGAAGAGAGAGAGAGAAGAGAGAGAGAGGAGAGAGAGGGAGGGAGGGAGGAGGGAGAGGGAGGGGAGGGAGGGAGGGAATGAGGAGAGGGGGTAGTGGAGGGAGGGAGGGAGGGAGAGAGAGAGAGAGAGAGAGAGAGAGAGAGAGAGAGAGAAAGAGAGCTTATACTCACTGCAAAAACCTAGACTTATGGCATCAAAAGAAAACAGATTGTAGTCAAAATAAGATAAACAGGAAATTCTGAGTTTTTAGGGATAGAGAATGGTGATGGAGAAGATCACAATCAAGGAAAAAGAGTTAGAGAACTATGAGATGTCTCTCAGCAATACCAGAAGACTCCGGGGAGATGTCTCTAAAAATCTAAAGGCAAATGTTCAGCCTTGAAGGTTATACTTAGCAAAGTTACCAATCAAATATGAAGGAAGAATGAAGCTGACATACTGTCATTCTCCCCATTTTACAGATGGGAACACAGAACACAACGTTTTTTAGAAATTCACTAAAGATCATTTTGCTGATAATTTTGAATTCAACACCCAAATCCACGTATTCTATGCTCAGAGTATTCAGTCTAAACCAGCACAACTCTCAGATCACATATGCTATGTAAGCCAAAAAACAACAACCAAAAAACAATGAACAACATAAACTGATGAACAAAAACAGATCCAGAGACAGAAAAACATCAATCAGACCATCAAACCTCAGAGGGAAGGCAGGGGAGGGTGGGGGTAAGGGGAATAGATCAACAAAAGCACTTGTATGCATGCATATAAGCCTAACCAATGGACACAGACAACAGGGGGTGAGGGCATGAGTGGGGGGATAGAGGGATAATGGGGAAATAAGGACACATATGTAACACCTTAATCAATAAAGAAATTTAAAAAAAAACACACGTGACTGTGGATAAAGGAAACTAAAAGGAAGGGAGAGAAGGAGGAAAAGAAAGGAAAGGGAGGCTAGTGCAATCGATAGAAGTACAGTAAGTATAAAAGTCTACTGTGTACCAATCACATGATTGACATATTATGTGTAGTATTAGATTCATTATTTAGGTAACACTAACAAATTGGAGTACTTGTCCTATAAAAAA